TAGTGATTCAGCAATTACTTGCATTATGAAATGCAATTACTTGCATTATGAAATGCTCACCACACTAAGTGTTACCATCTGTCACCATATGAAGTTACTACAATATTATTGACTACATTCCTTATGCTGTACTTTTCATCCTTGTTGACCTACTTATTTTATAACTGGAAGTTTGTACCTCTTAATTTCCTTCACCTATTTTGCTCATCCCTTGAATCTCCCTCCCCTATGGCAACCACCAGTTTGTTCTCTGTATTTATGAATCTGTTTATTTGTTTATTTGTTCATTTGTTTTGTTTTTTAGATTGCACATATAAGTGAAGTAATATGGTATTTGTCTTTCTCTGCCTTATTTCACTTAATATAATAGCTTCTAGTTCCATACATGTTGTCACAAACTGGCAAGATTCCATTCTTTTTTTTTCTTTTAAGATTTTATTTATTTATTTGACAGAGATCACAAGAGGCAGAGAGGCAGGCAGATAGAGGAGGAAGCAGGCTCCCTGCTGAGCAGAGAGCCCAATGCCAGGCTCAGTCCCAGGATGCTGGGATCATGACCTGAGCCGAAGGCAGAGGCTTTAACCCACTGAGCCACCCAGGCGCCCCAAGATTCCATTCTTTTAAATAACTTATATTTCATTACACACACACACACCCCACCCATCTTCTTTATCCATTCACCTATCGATGGAAACTTAGGTTGCTTCCACATCTTGGCTATTGTAAATAATGCTACAGTAGACATGGGGTATATGTATCTTTCTGAATTAGTGTTTTTGTTTTCTTCAGGTAAATACCCAGAAGTGGATTACTGGGTCATATGGTATTTCTGTTTTTAATTTTTAAAGGAATCTCCATACTGTTTTCCAGAGTTGCTACACCCATTTACATTCCCACAAACAGTATATAGGGGTTTCTTTTTCTCCACATTCTTGCCAGTGTTTGTTGGCATATCTTTTTTTTTTTAAGATTTTATTTTATTTTTTAAGGATTTTATTTATTTGAGATAAGAAAAGAGAGAGCACACAAGCAGGGGGAAGGGAGAGAGGGAAAGGAAGAAGCAGACTCCCTGCTGATCAGGGAGCTTGACCTGGGCTTGATCCTGGGACCCCAGATTCATGACCTGAGCCAACGGCAGATGCTTAACCAACTGAGCCACCCAGGTGCCCCAAGATTTTATTTTTAAGTAATCTCTACATTGAACGTGAGTCTTGAACTCATAACCCTGAGATCAAGAGTTGCATGCTCTACTGATTGAGCCAACCAAGTGGCCCATTCTTGTCTTTTTGGTACTGGGTATTCTGACTGCTGTGAGGGGATATCTCATTGTGGTTTTGATTTGCATTTCCCTGATTAGTGATATTGAGCCTCTTTTCATATGTCTGCTTGTCTTCTTTGGAAAAATGTCTGTTCAGGTTTTCTGCCCATTATTTAATCAGGGTATTTTGTTTTTAGGCATTGATTTATATGAGTTCTTCATATATTTTGGGTATTAACCCTTATTGGTTATATCATTTGTAAATATCTTCTGTCATTCAGTAGATTACCTTTTTGTTTTGTTGATGGTTTCCTTTGTTGTGGAAAAGCTTTTCAGTTTAGTCCCAATAGTTTATTTTTGCTTTTGTTTCCTTCATCTAAGGAGACAGATCCAGAAAAATACTGCTGAAGGCTGATACCCAAAAGTTTACTGCCTCCCTGTGTGTATGTGTGTGTTTTGTTAGCTTTTAGGAGTTCTCTGGTTTCAAGTCTTACATTTAAGATCTTTAATCTGTTTTGAGTTTATTTTTGTGTATGGTGAAAAAAAGTGGAATTTCCCCCTTTTTCCAGTAAAAAAGAAAAAGGACAAATCATATAGTTTGTCTTTTACTGCTATCTTTGGAAGTCTTTTTTTTTTTTTTAAGGTTTTATTTATTTATTTGAGAGAGAGAGAGTGAGAGCATGAGAGGGGAGAAGGTCAGAGGGAGAAGCAGACTCCCTCTGGAGCTGGGAGCCCAATGCGGGACTCGATCCTGGGACTCCAGGATCATGAGCTGAGCTGAAGGGAGTTGCTTAACCAGCTGACCCATCCAGGCGCCCTGGAAGTCATTTTTTAAAAATAAAGTTAAAGTATAACTTGATGTTTACCTTGGATGTTCATTTTGACCTGGTTCTTTTTTTTTTTTCCCTTTAAAGATTTATTTATTTATTTAATTTATTTATTGTGAACCCCAGGATCATGACCTGAGCTGAAGGCAGACACTTAACCTACTGAGCCACCAGGCGCCCCCTATTTGACCTGATTCTTTTTTTTTTTTTTAAAGATATTTATTTATTTATTTATTTATTTATTTGACAGAGAGATCACAAGTAGGCAGAGAGGTAAGCAGAGAGAGAGGAGGAAGCAGGCTCCCCACTGAGCAGAGAGCCCAATTCGGGGCTCGATCCCAGGACCCTGAGATCATGACCTGAGCTGAAGGCAGAGGCTTTAACCCACTGAGCCACCCAGGCACCCCTGACCTGATTCTTGAGCTAACTTTCTCATATGTTATCTGCTACTAATTGAAAATAAATCATTTAATATCCTTGTGAAATAGCTTGACTATCCTGTCTTAACACTAATGACTTGAAACCATACCAGCTTCTTTCTAGTTGAATTCTAAGAGGTTTTTTTTTTTTTTTTTTTTAAGATTTTTATTTATTTATTTGACAGAGAGAGAGATCACAAGTAGGCAGAGAGGCAGGCAGACAGAGAGGGGGAAGTAGGCTCCCCTCTGAGCAGAGAGCCCGATGCGGGGCTCGATCCCAGGATCCTGAGATCATGACCCGAGCCGAAGGCAGAGGCTTAACCCACTGAGCCACCCAGGTGCCCCGAATTCTAAGAGTTTTTAGGGTTAATCAGGATTCTCTTGTACCATTTTGTGTAAATATTTGGTTATGTCATTGAAAATCTGTTTTCTATTAAGCAAGACCATCATAATTGTTATTCATTATTTGTTAATTACCAATTATATGTAAGAAACTAAAGGAGATATGATAAGATCCCTAACTTAAAAGGCTTATAATCAAATGGAATATTGAAGTACATATCAATATAATCTGGTACATGGTAAGTTGCAAATGTATACATAGTATACACAGTGGTGCTCCAAGTGTTAATGATGAATTGGTTATAAAAGGTTTCATAAGGGCCATAGGATGTGAGTCAGGCCTTTAAGACAGAAGAGGCCATTCTAGTTATAAGGGCCAACAATGGATGCTCCTTGTGGTAACTTAAAAAAAAAATTAATTTTTAATTAACATATAATGTATTATTTGTTTCAGGAGTACAGGTCTGTGACTCATCAGTCTTACATAAAACACAGCGCTCACCACAAAACATACCCTCCCCAGTGTCCATCACCCAGCCAACCCCTTCCCCCCACCCCGCTCCACTCCAGCAACCTTCAGTTGTTTATAGAGATTAAGAGTCTCTTATGGTTTGCCTCCCTCTCTGGTTCATCTTGTTTCATTTTTCCCTCTCTTCCCCTGTGATCCTCTGCTTTGTTTCTCAAATTCCACGTATCAGTGAGATCGTATGATAATTGTCCTTCTCTGATTGACTTATTTCACTTAGCCTAATACCATCTAGTTCCATCCCCATCATTGCAAATGTCAATATTTCTTTTTTTGATGGCTGCATAATATTCCTGTGTGTGTACACGCATAATATAAATATATATATAAATAATATAATTTTTTAATACAAGAATTTAAATAGGGAGTTTAATAGTAAAGGAATTCAAATGACAAGCTAAAGAGTTTGCAGTAGGGAAGTAGAAAGTATGTTTTTCTATACATACATGCAGGTATACATGGATAATGATGTATGTGATTACTTCACGTAATGTTTCATGAGTTTAAGCGCAATGGAGAAAGTTAGTGACAAGTATAAAAATAACCTCCATCTGTTAGAGTGAACACATATGAAAAGTATGAAGAGCAATAGATAAGGAAGTACACTTTTCCAAATCTTATAAATGAAACTATTACACTAGTGATAATTTATGAAAATTTGGTAGTTAGTTGAATAGCTCAAAATTGTCTGGATAGGCTAAGATCCATCTTTTTCCTGTCTTCAGAGAAATTTATAAGGGAAGAAAATCTAGCCTGACAGTTTCTCATACAAAGACACATACTTGCACCAGTTAAGACAGAACTATCTAAAATATTTTAAGTTTTATTTCCCTTCTCTTACTAATACTGTTTGAAGGACTTTTAGTAAACAACAAAGATAATTGGAGGATATTAAATACAATTGCAAAGCTTCAGTCTAGGACTGCTTAGTATCACTAGGGTTTTGGAAAGTTTTTTATAGAACTTGTTTGTTTCATCAGTAACTTGGATTGGATTATGTTGTTGCTGTCAGTGCTTGATAATGGTGGGGATGGAGGAGGTGGGACGGAAAGGAAATTCATTTGTGATAGGTTCTGTACAAAATTGAAGGAAGAGCTTTTAATTGTCCACAATTTATTTAACTAGACTTAACCCCACTTTTTCTTTCTGTTGGCCAGTGATGAAAAATGGAGCAAATAGCTTTCTTGTGGGTCATATATCCAGTACTAGAAGATAGCATTTATGTATGTGTATATATATGTACTTAAATACATACATATATTATGTATGTATGTAAGTAGGTTCCACTCCCAGTGTGGAGGCCAACAGAGGGCTTGGACTCATGATCCTGAAATCAAGAATTGGATTCTTAACCTACTGTGGCACCTAGGCACCCCAGAGATAGAATTTTATATTAAAGGTTTGCATGTTCCCTTAGCTGCCATGGTCTGCAGCTTACCGAGCTTATGCTACCAGATGAATAACTAGTCCAGATGGCTAAACTGTTGGAGAGTATAAAACCAAAACCCATTTCAGGAAGCTATTCACTTTGTTCATTTTTGGATAAGGTCCATTCTAATTAGTGCTAACTTTCTGAATTTGTTTTAAAATTTAATTTTTAACTCTTATGTTTCTTGATTTTTACCTAGGTTACCAAATACCCTCCTATGTTTGAGATCCACAGACTACATGCCCTACAAGAACAAATCAATGATTTTTCATCTCCTGGAGATACATTAGAAACATAAATATGGTGTCAAAAGATCTCCTTACTTTTCTCTGACTACGGTTTATTTGGACGTACTTTTGTATTGAAGAGAATTATACGGACTGAGGCTACTTGTGCAGAGACTCTGTCGTGTAAAATCATGGACCATCCTAGTAGGGAGAAGGATGAAAGACAACGGACAACTAAACCCATGGCACAAAGGAGTACACACTGTCCCCGACCATCTGGCACCTCAACGTCCTCTGGGGTTCTTATGGTGGGACCCAACTTCAGGGTTGGCAAGAAGATAGGGTGTGGGAACTTCGGAGAGCTCAGATTAGGTAAGGACTTGGTTTTATGAGTGACTTACAACAATGACAGCTTTGGTGTGTTTAAGATAAGCAGTTATAATTTCATGAGAAATTTTCTTAAGGAGGACTTGTTATTTTAAGAACTAAAGAATTTGTGAAGGGAACTATAGTCATTATCAGTTATAATTGTATCCAAGGTTCATCTCTGTGTATGATAGGCTTTTAAATTTACCACGAATTCTGAGATTTTATGAGGTAGGGAGCATTATATACAGATATCAATAAAATGAAAATTCTGATTTAGTTGGTCTGAGAGGTAAACCTAAGTTCTTTTTAACAAACCTCAGGTGACCTAGATGTTGTTGGTCCTTGAACCACACTCTAAGAAGGGAGTAAGGTCTTGCTTTAATTCTGACTCTACCCCTGATAAGGAATAAATCCTTAATGAGTAATACCCAGACTTAGTCTATAAGGATATACTTCCTGTTCAGAGAGGCTTTCCAACTGATACTATGTTTGCATTTCTTCCTGGAAATACCAACATCAGGATTGAGCTAGAACTCCAGGGAGAAATTACGTGATTTTATTTCCCAACCAGGGAAATGGATTTTTTAATTTCAAGTATGAATTTGTGAGTATGATGATGAAAAATGACAAAACCAACCAGTTTGAAGATGTGAAATTGGGAAGAAGATACAGTAGGTATTTATAAATTTTTCAGTGGCCCTTCCTGGATGAATTGGGAAGAGAAAATGAAAGATCTTATATGAAGTTGGACATCAGCTTGGAGAATGTAAAGAGGTTCCCTTTTAGGCTAAAGTGTTTGCTTTTTCTCCATAGCTGTTATGGGTATGGATGATTATAAAGACCCATTGTAAGAGACTCTGCCCCTTGAGGGAACAGGAGAACAGGAGTGTGGAAGGGTAACATGATTATTGTTTGTCACCTTTTCTTCTTCTGTTCTGCAGAAGAAGGGAAAAATGTCTCTGGTCCCCCATAGAGAGAATCAGGGAAGCATCACTACACTAGTGAGAGATCACTGGGTGCACAGTTCAATTTAAGGATGCTGAGTATGAATTTATTTTTACTGGTAGAAGGCCAGCAGCCTGGAATTTTAAGACCTGACTAGTGTAATGGAAGGCGCTTTATATTTAGCGATGTTCGAGTTAGCAAATCTAGCAGATGCTACTGAGAATAGGAGTAAGATGTGTAATTTCACACTGCTTGAGTTCCTAGCAACTACTGAGTTGTTTTAGCAGCTAGTTTCGTGAATATTCATTTATGTCATGGATTGACTTAGCTCTAACATCACAGTAGTAACTTGAATTAAATAGATTATGACATAAGCATCCACAGAATTACTACTGAGAAGCAGTTTGATGCATATGAATTCTTGCTTTCTCAGAACATCATAAAATTGTTTGATTTCTCTAAAGGTAAAGGAAAACTTCAGTCAGTAAAAACTGGAAATCTGTCTTATTTAATTATTTGTATTAGATGATCTTTAAGTTTACATGGAAATAGAAAATCTTAGTGAGTTAATAGGATAAATTTGTACCCATATGTATTTCAGAGTCCTTACGTGAATTTAGGATAATTTTGGTAGTTCTCATTTTGGCCCTGTAATCTGTAGAAAGACTTCTCTTTCTTTTGAAGTGGTTTTAGTCTTTTGTGCTTATCAAGTTTTCATTAGCCCTGGGACCATATTGTCATGACATTGTATGTAGGAATACTTTTTTATCAACAGAAACCAGAAAACAAACTTCCAGAATCATTTGACATCTTCCTAACATCAGGGTATGCTATATACTCCATTCCACTGTTCTTTGGGTGTGATTTTCGTAAGTAGGAGATTGTGCAGACAACAGATGATATAAACTAGAAATTGCAAACTCAAGACAGGTACAGATGGGCCTTCAGCAAGGCTGCCACTTACAAGGCCATGCTTTCTTCTCCACATTCATTTCTTTATCTAGCCACACTGTCTCTCTGGCCCTCACATAGCCAAATGCATTTATGCTTTCAGAGCTTTTGTACTTAAAGTACCTTCTACTACAGAATTCTTCCCCCAAATTTTGCTTAGGTGGTTGTTTCTCATCCTTCAGGCTTTACCTTTTCTTTCCTTCTCAGAGAAACCTTCAGTGATTTCTTCCCCACCTCCATTTAAAATGGCACATTTCTCTCCTAGCTATAAAGCCAAACACTTTATTTTATTTAGTTTTTTAAAAGATTTTATTTATTCACTTGACAGACAGAGAGCACAAGTAGGCAGAGAGGCAGGCAGAGAGAGGGGGCTAAGCAGGTTCCCTGCTGAGCAGAGAGCCCGATATGGGGCTCGATCCCAGGACCCTGGGATCATGACCTGAGCCGAAGGCAGAGGCTTAACCCACTGAGCCATCCAGGCGTCCCCAAACACTTTATTTTAGTCATCACATTGATCACTACCTGAAATGATTTATTTGTGTTTATTTACCTGCTAATTGTCTCTCCTTACTTGAATATGACCCCCTTGGAGGGTGGGGATTCTGTGTTATTTACTGTTGTTAATCTGTGGATTGGATAGATAGATAGCCAGATGAACAGGAAGAGAGAGAAAAAAAACAAACAAACATAGCCTCCTTCAGGCTCCTGGTATGTGGGGGTGGGGGTGATGGTAGGTAGTGGCCTTAGTACCACTGATTTAGGAGACCTCTGGATTCCAGGTAGAGAAACAAAGAAGATAATGCAGTGTTAGTACATTTTGGTTCTCTGCAAAACTGTTTCTACCCCATCATTCATTTAACAAACATTTTTCTTTTAAGATTTTATTATTTATTTGAGAGAGGGTGAGAGATTGAGCATGAGCAGAGGGAGAGGGAGAAGCAGGATCTCTGCTAAGCAGGGGGCCTGACATGGGGCTTGATCCCAGGAGCCCGAGATCATATCCTGAGCCGAAGGCAAACAGTTAACAGACTAAGCCACCCAGGTGCACCTTAACAAACATTTCTTGAATAATTACTAACTTACTAGACTTTGGGAAAGATAGAAAGAATAACAAAATGTAGTTTCTATCCTCCAGAATCTGTCTCACAGTCTACTGGTAGAAAGAAAAAAATTATAACACGAAGTGATAACTATTATAATATATTAAAAACTGCTTTAGCAGAGGTTAATGAAGATTTCAGAAAGGAAGCATTATTTGAGAATAGGACAAGACTTCCACTGGTGGGCACAAGGAAGAAGGGCTCTCCAGCAGTAGGAACACGAAACATTATGAAAGTAGCAAATGGTTAACCCAGCAACATGACTGGGTTAATGGATGTGAAGTAAAAGAAGTAATAGATGACTCCATCAGGGAGGTTGGGGCCAGATTGTGAAGTGTTTAGATGGTACTAAAGCATTTGGACTTTATCCTGTAGGTAGCGGAGTAGAATCATCAAGGGTTTTACAACCAAGAGTGGCATGATCTGGTTTGTATTCTAGATGGAAAGATAATTCAGGTAGTTGTAAGATTAGATCAGATAAGAAAGAGATCGACATCTTGTGAATTTTGCTCTAATTGTAAAACTTGTCACATTGTATTATCTTCCCCCATGTCTCTGGGTCAAGATTAGCTTGATGGTAGTACTTTGCTTCATTAATCTTTATATTCTCAGCTTCTTTTTACTGCGTATGGCATATAATAGATATTTAAGAAATGTTAATGGGTACTTACAACATGTTTGTTTGGCTTTACAGTCTGAGTCAGAAATGGCCAGACCTGCCTTAGCTTTTAGCTCTGAAAATGGCAGTGAGATGGAGAGGAAGGGATGAATTAGGGAGAAATTTCAGGAGTAGATTGTAGGCAGGATTTGACCCCCAGTATTTGAGGGAAAGCTTTCAAAGATGACTGAATTTGCCAGCTTGGAGAGACCAAGGGAATGAGGAAACTTTTAATGGCAATAGGAAATACAGGATTAGAGTTGGTGGTAGGGAAGACAGGTAGTTAATACACTGACTTTGAGGAGTGTGCAGCACATAAGCAAAAATGTGAATCTGAGACTAAGAAAATTTTAGGCTTGAGGTAGGGATAAGGAGGTCATCACTATGTCGGTGTTAATGGACACACAGTCACAGATGATGAGATGATACTTTATGGAGTTTGTATGAGTGGAAGAAAGGTGCATTTAAGGAATGCTGGAAGAGGAAGGGCTTGAAGAGTAGTGAGGTTGAAAAGTCAGAAGAGTTTTTTCAAATTTTACTTTAGAAGTTTCTCCAGGGGTGTCTGGATGGCTCAGTTGGTGGAGCATGCAACTCTTGATCTAAGGGTTGTGAGTTCAAGCCCCATGGTGGATATAGAGATTACTTAAAAATAAAATCTTTAAAAAAAAAATGTTTATCCAAAGATAACCACTAATTTAATTTAATTTTCTAGAATGTATATCAGGACATATTTTAGAAATGTAATCAAACTGTAGTATAAACGTGTTTTTATCACTTAATATAGCACGGATTTCTTTTTTCAGTTTAAATACAGATCATTCTTGGGGTGCCTGGTGCCTCAGTTGGTTAAGCGTCTACCTTCTGCTCAGGTCATTATCCCAGGATCCTGAGATTGAGCCCTACATCTGGCTCTCTGCTCAGCAGAGAGCCTGCTTCCCTCTCTCCCTCTGCTGCTCCCCCTGCTTGTGCTCTGTGCCTCTCTCTCTGTGAAATAAATCTTTTTAAAAAATAAAAAATACAGATTATTCTTTTTTTGAGAGAGAACGCACGCATGTGAAATGGCAGGGGAGCAGAGAGAGCGAGCTCCATGCCCAGCGCAGAGCCCTGTACCAGCTCCATCTCAAGACCCTGAGATCACCACCTGAGCCGAAACCAAGTGTCAGACGCTTAACCAACTGAGCCACCCAGGCATCCCTAGATCATTCATTTTTAATGTCTGTAGTTATTCTGTAATTTAGCCCATTTATATTTACATATTAATTATTTCTGTCTTTTCATATTATAAATGATACTGTACTGAGCATCCTCCTTATAGATGCCTGTAGTAGTACATCCTTATTGTACAAACT